TAAGCTGGTGCCAAGAGGATGGCTGCCAGTTTCTAACAGAAGAAAAAAAAGCCTCCACACTCCAGTCCAACATGAGACAGACCAACCAACTAGGCCCAAAGGGATGAGAGCAGGAGAAACAGGAACTCCACCAGTATTCTCTTTATGACACACACACACCCTCCCAGCATCGTTCCCTTAACAAGTCTTTGGAATCAAACGGCACCCCTCTTCATTCCAAAATCCTACAAATAGCATTTATAGCAGAGCTAAAAACCCCGTAAGGCAGCATACACTTAAGGGAGAGCGGCACTTCAGAGAAAGGACTCAGAAAAGTGTCAGTGAGAATGCCAAGAGAATGCCAGCAATGACAGAAAGGTCTGATTTTTGATTTTTTATATATCTCTGCAATCTGCCTGCTTCCATGTTGCTTAACAGACGAACCTCCTGTGCCCTTGCTGAATGCAGACAGGGATTGCGGTTGAGCGTAAAACAAACACCCAGACACTGATGGTGGGAAGAGCCAGGTCCAGTGACCTCTTCCCTCCCTCCCTCCCTCCGCTTCCCAAAGCAATTAAGGAGGAATATATGATGGTGAAACAGCTGGGCACCAACTGCAGGGAGAGTGCAACACAATCTCCCTGCCCCTAAGAGTTATTCCTTGCTATGTTGACCAGTTTCCCAGCAACCACAAGGATAGCGTGCTCCATTTTTACAAGCTGCCAGGTTGCTGAACCCCTTTCCCCCTTGAAGGATGAAACAGCAGGAATATATAGGAACCAGCTATTTCAGTTCTGGAATTGAACCCACTGCCATACATACATACATACATGGAAGACCACCACCAATGCTACTTACTGGCAGCCAGAGACTAAATACAATCTAGGTTAATAGCTTAGATGACCACTCCCCGCCACAAACCAGCCTGGCCTTACTGCTGTGGCTTTAGTACAAACAGCTCCACCAGCACTGTGCATTCAAAGCTCCCACCCCACCCCCCACCCGCATATAATCTTGGGAGCTGTAGTTTGTTAAGGGTCCTGAAAGTTGCTGAGGTACAATTCCCAGCATTCCCAAGGAAGAGGAATTGATTGGGATAATTCTAAGGGTGGATTCGCACAGAAGTATTTCCTGCAAACATACTGTGCATTGAAGCATGCAAATTTTGGAACAATGCATGAAGACACTGAATAAAACATTTCTGTGGAATCGGGTGGCTCAGGTTCCTCACTGAAATAATTTATCTCAATAAAAAGTTTTTGGCACCTGCTTACAGCTATCACCTAATGCAGAGGTTCTCAAGATTTTATTCCCTCACAAACCAATTGAAAATGGTGAGGGATCTCAGTGGACCGCTTAAAAAAGTTATTTTTGTTCTACATATCAAAGCACATTTATCTCATATTTTAATAACATTTTATCTCCAGCACTGTCATCAAAACCCAGTCCTGTGAAGAGAATTGGCCAAGCCACTGAGGAATTTTAAACGGGAAAATTGATAAGACTGCACCAGCATTGTGCCATGAAATCAAAGGCTTAAGCCAGAGCCTTGTTAGCCTTGTTGCCTTTCCACAAACCATCCAAACAGACCATTAGTAGATCCACTGACCAGTTTGTAAAATAAAAACATGAAATCAGAAGTTTTCAGGGTAGAAGTACAGAATTTCCAGTGAAAATTAAACAAGAAGTGCAGAACATATTGTGTGTCAAGGCTGGCATTCTCTCAGGCCAATAGTGGGTGAGGCTGGAGCCAGCAATAGGCAGCATCAATGCTAAAAGCAGGCCCATTACCCCTTTCCCCTGGACTTACAGCTCCCTCTTTTTCCCCTTACCTTCCTGCCAACCGCCCACTGCAGATGGGAACTTGCCATGTTAGAGGATTTTCATTGCAGCCAGCAACACAGCATTAACCCTGTTCCACACAACAGGGTAAGAAAAATGGACCCATTCACACAAACAGGGGTTATTTTGGCAGGGGTTAAACCTTACTGCTGTGTCAGAGTGCAGAGCTGAGACGGTCACAGGTCAAACTGATGCTCCACATGCCACTCTTGGCATGTTCTGCCTTAAATGATTTGAGACCATAATATCATGCAGATAGTTTTCCTCCATATGGACCTTCCCATGTTTCAAAATCCATTAGCAGTTATGCTCTGTTCCACCACCAAATGTTTGGCAAGTAAGTACAAGAGACCTACCTTTTCTGCAGCAGTGGCCAAACCACAGATTTCCTTCTCACCTCAACCCAATTGCTGGCAGCCTTTCACAGAGCTGTTAAGATGTGCCCATAGAAGGTTTTAGCCTTCTAGTTTTCAGGAAAGGACAATAGTTCAGTGGAAGAGTCAATGTTCTGCATATAACCGAGGTTCAATTGCTGGCATCTATCTCCAGGTAAGGCTAGCAAACCCTGAAAAACTGTTGCCAGTTCATGTACACAATACTGAGCTAGACTAACTACTGGTTTGACTGAGTTTAAAATTTCTTCCCATATGAAAGTCATACAACCCATATCCACCTCACATTTTGAAGTGGTACAATCCAGGAAACATGTGAATCGGCCATTATTAGCCACTTTGCGATCTAGGTATGGCTTCCAGTTCATCCTTCTAGAGCTCAGTATAGCTCGATATCTCTTAACTAACTGTATAATGCTATATCCCACATGCTCTAACACTTGTAAATTGTAGCCATGCGTTTTAAGACTTCACTGCTACTGCCTAGCCCAACCACCAGGTATACTGTGCATGAAGGGAAGTGCTCTTTTCTTTAAAAAGAAAAAAATGAAAACGGGCGATTAGGAATGAGAATTTCTGATCAATAATTTATAAGTTTGTAGGCCTTAAATGAAAACCAGACTGGCACTTTGCATTAAGTGGCAAGCAAAGTGCACTTCCAGCACTTCCACAATGAATTTTTTAATGTTATCAGCTTCCTGAAGCTTTCTAAGCACCTTCAAAAGAAATCCCTGGCTTTGCACCGAGTCCCTAAATGCCAGTGATGCTGGCATTTAAGGAAAATAGAATTAAGGTAACAGGACAATGAATTTTAAAGCAAGCCTTTCAAAATATGAACAAGACCATCCAATTCCAGCACACAATAAGCGCTTCAAGACAGACGTTTTAACAAATTGTTTCACTTTGGTCAAGAACTTGTCTCCCGCACCTTTCCTGTTCCAAGATGATGCTTCTGCTGTTTAAGGAACAGATGGGCAAATTGAATAAGTCAATTTCATCCTCCCAGATATTCCTACTAGCTGGCAAACAAAACAGAACAAAAAGCATGCAAAAACATTGCATGCTGAAGTTTTTAAAAAGGACTTCTACATATTGCATCACATTGCTAGCTCTTTGTTGTATTTCATAACAGAATAGCACTCATTTTAATGACTATCCTGGAGTATTTGTGCATATTCCCCCACCCCCACCAGCAAATATAGTTATTTTATTTTGTTTTCTCTTAGGTGCTACACTTCAACCTTCTACATGTAACCCTTAAAAATAACAGAGCACAGTCGTCCTATGTAACTCTGGGACATCTCCTTAACAGAGACAGACCAAAATCATTCAAAAAAACAAAACAAAAACTAGACATTAGCAATAGCCACAGCAAACAAGCTCATTAAGGACATTTTTTAAAAGACCTATAAATTTTGCATTAATTCAGTTTAGGCCATTGCTTGGACCAAAGCTTATGTACCGGTGATAATTTTACACAGCAACAATGCATACCAGCCTTTTTAAAAGCTTGGATTGTTTTTCCCACACTGAAAGCACAATGAAATTGTTGCTCCTTCAGTGGGAGCTTCATCTTACCTGTCTTCAGACACCCACTTCCAGGGGCTTGTGGGAAAATGCAGGGCTACCTCTACTCCAATGATGCCACACAAGTGAGCTACACAGTTAAGCTGAAGACCAATAGGCTGAATCTGAAGGGGACCACCTTCATTGCACATAGGATTTCCAACCTATGGATGGCCACTCTGATCACACGACATCAAGGTTGAGCTGGCTTATGATCTCTCAGGCTCCTCCATGAAGTTAACACCTGAAGATGGCTATTTCCAACCTATTTTGAATGCCCTTTCTTGGAGGTGAAAAATAATTAAGACTATCCCCATATTTTCTGTTAAAGGCCAAAACTAGCTTTGAAGTTCATTAGAAATGGTTCAACATATATTTCTCAGCTCATGTTCTGCAAATTAAGACAGCAGATACTTTTCTTAATGCAGCTTACCTCCACAGCAGTGCAAATTTCACTCACCAGAAGCTAGTGCTACTTCCAAGCAGTTAAGATCCAAGATAACTAAACAATTGTGGAATCCAGACTCAGCACAATAGGATAGGGTTTGAAGCTCCCCATTTAAAATACCACTATGGACCACAAACAGAAACAAAACTCCTAGGATGTCAAGGTGTTGTTGTTCTTTTATTTAAAGAGCAGCATATTTTTAAAGGATGATTTAATTCAGAAAAGAGAGCTTGTTTATTATATATCGGGGGAAATAAAAAGATTTCTATATTTCCAAAAGGTTTGATTAACCAAGTCTAGAATTCTAACACTCTGCTCCTGGCCTTTTACTGGCAGAACAGTGCATCTCAGGGCAATCAAGAATTCAAATTGAACTTCAACTACTTTAACATGTCGTGCCCCATTCTGAGGCACTTGCAATTCTTGCAAAGATTCTCCTCTATTTAGTATTTTTAATATGAAAAAAAAAAATCCTAAAGGGCTGATGAATCTGCTCAAACGCAGACATAGGTTGCAAGAGTAGACCCATTAAACAAATAGAAAAAATAACTCCTGCACAGCAGTATAAAATGAAGAGAATTAATGGCAAATTAAGAAGAGGACGCGCACACAAAAAATGGAAGACTTGGCCGTGAGTGCTTATGGAGGCATCTGCACAACCAGAGCAACGAACTTTTGCTTTCAGGATGATTTCCTCAAAGACAGGCATGTGAAAACTTCTTGCTGCAAGAGCTCCATGTCACTTCAGAACATATGCAACATACACATTTAGGAAAGTTTTAAACAGTGTTTACTTAAAAACAGGATGACATGGAGAGTATAGAACCTCTGAACAATACTACTTCAGTACAAAGCTAGTTTAATACCCAGCAGTGGAACCAATCCTAGGATAAAGTTAGCTGACGGGTTTTCAGCAATCTCTATTCACTTAGTAGCCCAGAAACATTTGAAAGAAAACTTGAACTCAACTCAAATTCCTGAAGACTCCAACAGAATCTTATTATCAATGCTAAGAAAAGCCCAGTTCCAACACGACCACCAAACTGCAATTCTGACCACTGCGGACACAAAGGCTGTAAAGAAAAGGTGATTGTTAACTATATGGTCTTGATGTGAATTGTTAAGGAATTATTTTCTTAGTATCTATCAAGAGCAGCTTCTGGCATACTTTTAATATTTTATTGTAAGGCAAGTGCTTGGGGAACCTCTAGCCTTGCTGCTCCATCTGTATTAAAAGGTAGCTTGAAAAGACCTTTATATGTTTGTTGCAGTTGTTTAAAAATAAATAAGTAAATGGAGGAGGGGGAGCCTGAAAAGACCTGCCATGTTGCTAAATAATTTCTTGTTACCGGTAGATTCCTGTAACAATGTGGCAACACAACCCGTTAAAAATTCATAGCCTAGATTTTGAAAGTTTAATTCAACATTCTGCACTTCTTGGCCTTTATTACAGATAGCAATTAAGGCACCAGCATTAGCTTAGTGAACAGTTTTATCTGCACACTTCATTGTTCAGAATTCTTGGTTCAAAGCAGGGTTGCAACATTTAGCCAACTGACCTAAAAGATGCCCACAATTAATTGCCCATTTTATGTAAACTTTTTCTCACAGTGTTGACAATAGGCACCATCTTAAGAGATACATCCATCTTTTTGACACAGATTATGATTACGAGGGGTGCCTGTTTGAACAAGAGTAATTTTAGAAGAGGCATCTTTTTAAAAATTGTTCCTTTAGAATAAGGACTGCTCTGGTAGAAAGCTAGTCTGGCAGAGGCTCGCCGGGATTTTAGGGTCAGTTTCAGTTTGTGGCCAGAGGGGCAAGGTGCTGATAGGTGTCCAAGCCTACCACCTCTACCCTTGCCCACCATAGCAAATAAAAGCTAGCAGGGAGGGCCTTATTCAGTGGGGTCCAGGAAGCAGTTAATGCTTCACTTAGGAAGGCCATACTCAGTCCTCAAAAAGGCAGTGGTGAGGCCTCTTCTCAAGAGACCCTCCCTGGAGCTGGAGGTATTGGGTAACTGCAAATACCCGGTAAAAATTTATTATCAAATAAAAATTTATTAATATTTTAAGATGCATTTTAATTATCTGATGTCTGTTTTTGTGCTTATTGTGTTGTTTTCATGATGTTAGCTGCTCCGAGCCCGGCCTCGGCTGGGATACAAATATTATAATTATTACCTAGCCACAAATGTCTTTTCAGGGCAAGTGATTGAGAGGGTGCTGACTGGCCAGCTTCTGCCCCATTTCAGTCTGGCTTTATTAATTATTACAGCTCTGCAATGGCCTTGGTCATCTCACATGACTCCTGCTGGTTCTCTTCTTCTCCATGGCCATTTGATACCATTAACCATAGTATGCTCCTGAATCAGCTCTGTGGGTCGTGAGTCAGAGGCACCATATTGTAGTGCATCTGCTCTTAACTGCAGAACTAATATTCAAGAGTAGCACTGGGAGACTTGCTCTGTCCCCTGGCAGTTATGCTGTGGAATCTGGCAGGGCACAAGTCTGTCCCCATGCTCTTTACTATCTCTTGGAAGCTGTTATCTGGAAATTTGGAAGTAAAATGGCATTAGCATGCCAATGACACACAACCTTATCTCTCCACTTCATCTGAATCAGAAGAGGCTGATTCAGGTGCTGGACAGATGCCTGGAGGCAATGGGCTGGATGAAGACCAATAAACTGAAGCTTAACCCTGGCAAGACTAACTGTTTGGGAAGACTGCCTGTTCTGGATGGAGTTGCAATCCTTGCTTAGAGAAGGGTCTTGGGGTCAATGTTACCTTGAGGCCCAGATGGCGCAAGTGCCAAGGAACACCTATGCCTAGCTACAGTTCTTTTTAGCTATAGTAGTACTACATGCACCCTCTCAAATATACTGTGGTGTTCTCTGTGTGGTGCTGCCCTTGAAAATAGTCCAGAAACTGCAGCGAAGCAGGATCCTGCAGCAGTGATTCCTTAAGGATCAGCATGGTCTGCCTGTTTGCTACCAGCCCAATTTAAGGTGCTGACTTTGGTTTAGGGCACAAGTACTATTCAAGTACAGGATGGCAGGAAGGATCTGCAGGAGAGGCCCTGCAGGGTCTTCTCTGTTGTGGCACTCCGGGTGTGAACTGCCTCACCAGAGATATGGCACTGTCCCCTATTTTAGGCATTATGTACGACATTTATTTGCCCTGACTTGTGGATTTGGATTACTGCTTGATTGTCAGAATTTCTATTTCTTGATATTTTGTTTTGATATCTGTTCTATGGTTCCTGTACTGGGTTGTGAATTTAATATATTGCTATGCACCTCTTTGCAAATCTTCAGATTGAAGGCTGAATGTAAACTTAAAAAATGAAGCTGTTAATGCTACTTATATACAAATTTGTTCTAATTTATTCAGTGAAAGTTATGCAAACAGACTAAGATTTCTTCAATCAGGTGATAGCTGTAGCTAAACAAGTCAACTGTTTTTCAAGTTGAACTTTTATCTGCTATTCTACCGGTTTCCTATCATTCCCTAGAGAGATTGAAAAATGCATCACAAAGCTAGACGTGCCATACATTACCCATGGTCTCTGCAGTATAACCCATTTCAATCATTTCTCAATTCTTGAGCAATTAAGGAGCTTTTGTTTAGTCTGCATTTTTTTTTAAAGCAAAGGTAAAATGCCCAACTCACTTAACTGAGCTAACCTGCATGTACCATACCAGTACATAACATTCCACAAATTGTTCTTAAAAGTAGACTATGCATCTTGAAAATGTTCTTGTTCACATGACCATAAAATACCTGAAAATTCAATTTGTGGAAAAACAACTGTTCAAGAGCTTCAGTGTCCCGCATAATATGCACTGCAACCCAAACACATAACAGGTCCAAAAGTCATAAAAACCATGTACACAATAGGCATCTGGCAGAATTTTCAGACAACTTTTAAAATTTATTCTGACATGCTATAAAGGAATAAGTTACACTGTTAGACGAATCACCAGCAGTAAGAGTATCTTTTAGCTGGATTAGAGTGAGGATAGCCTAAGGCAGTAACCCATGTGAACACAGCACACCGAGATGCTGCCTGAGAACAAGAGTAAATCTGGTCATATCCACTTCACAAGAACTTGAAAAGAAAATTCCTTCTTTTAAAATCCTCCACACACTTCCATTTTAAATCTTCAAAGCTACTTTTGCAAATTAGTCCAGCCAATGCAAGACAACGGCAAGGCTTGTGAGCTGCTGTGATGGGTCTGAAAAGATGCCTTTATTTTTATCCAGTCTCTTGTTACAGTGGGCTGGGTATCGATGCAACAGATTATAAAAATGCAAGAGCGCCCCTCCCCATCAAGAAAAAAAATACAAAATTTATTGAAAAACAAAAGTGAGGAAGAGTTACAACACTAGATCTAAAATGATTAAGAAATAGGACTTTTGCTTTAACAAATGGCCTTGTAGTTGCCCATTTTAAAAAAGGGTGGTGTCTAATTTAGATTGCAAATTATCAAGGCAAATAAAAAAAAAAACCTCATTTCCTTACAGAAACAGTTTAGTTTTTAATGAACTTGTAAACAAAAAAGCTCCCGTTTCCAAAATAAAAACAAAATTCGTTCATATAGATGTTTACAGTGATTACATTTATCTAAACAACTTACATACAAGTTTCAGTTGTAAGATGTTAACTAAATTTGTGACAAATATGCTGTTTCTCCTTTTATACCAAGAACATTATAGAGTTAATGCAGAGTCCTAAAGATAATCTAGTAGTCGCTAAGTTTCTCTTAAGTCTTCACTTTAGATGCTGTTACTTCTAGCACAGGTAAGCAGGCAGAGTCTTTCATATGCTTAAAAACTGGAATCTTTGGTTACTACCATTGTCAGCTGGCTTACGTCACTCAAGACACCAGCAATTTTAAGAATGTTTTAAGTGTACAGCTTTCAAAACCAGGGAGGAATACCCAGAAAGTGTGCACAATTGTGAGCATTTACAATTTACCACAACTGTTCCTGAAGACTTGTTCATGCCATTCTTCCAAAACAATGAGATCTCATAAGCAGTGTAGTTCAAAGTAAAAAGGTTACAAAAATTGGCATATGCACAATTCTTTCCACCACTTGTGTGTCAACCATTCAGTTAAACTTTTCCACTTGAAAAAATGCAATAGAAAACTGGACACCATGTTTCACTATCTCAGAAATATTCACAATTACAGCTGCTACAACTCAAAGCTGCAGCATCAACGGCGCTGCCCAGAGCCAGTTTATACTGAAATTAAGTTCTTTACATCAAGTAGATGGTTGCCCACAACCACCGGCAAGTGTGTTTATGAACTAAAATTCCTAGGATTTGGGGAGTGATAGATCCTGCTCCATTCTGCTCTGCTTCATCTGTTCTCTTCTTCATGCTCAAAAACCTGGAAAGCAAACAGAACACTTTGATATTTGGAAATAAAAAACAGCCACTTGAGTGGGAGGCTTTAAACAAACATTATGGCCTTCGAAGGAAAATGCTACTCAATTCAAAATTACAGACTTAAATCTGTGCTTGATTGAGTTTGTTTGATAGCAGCCTTGCCCCATGTAAAAAGAGTCCTACTTGTACACCAAGAGAAAGGCATGCAATAATTCACATTTTCCTTAAGGCAATGCTACTACTGGCCGCCAGTCTTAGCAATGCAGCATCGCTATTCATAATCCAACCACCATTAGTGAAGTATGATATTTCTTGATACATTCATGCTAGGGCTGCTTACAATTAAGTTTTAGCTCATTAACCACTTTTCTTTTAGCCAATTATATTTAAATAGATTTGCATGTTTAGGATACCGGAAACTAGTCTGTTAGAAAGGCCTTCTCTCATACTCTACATTAAGAAAAAGTGGCCTTTGAAATAACTAGCATATTCTTAACTCAAGTCCAACTGATTCAAGTTGCTGCCTATCCATTGAACGAAGCTTGCAGCCCTCATTCATGAATGTGCAAGGGAACAGACTGTAGAATTAAGAGCAGCCGGTACACGGCTTATGATGCAATCCTATGCATGTCAACACAAAAGGAAGCCCCACTGAGTTCAATAGGGCTTCCTCCCAGGGAAGTGGGTACAAAAGCTGTAAACTTACAAGTACTTGCTCTCTATATAAGAAAAACATTGTCACTTGAGATAATTCTTTTATCTGTGTTTGAAACTGCGGCTATATAGATTTTGTTGTGCACCACTACAAATAATCCAAAATGTGGGTCTAAGAAAGAGACTCAAAGGATGGTTGCCACCTGCAACCAGGATTGAGAGACTTGCTTAAACAGCCAACATCTGCAATAAAACATAACCAGTACAGATTACTGTAAAATCAAGCCATGGTGTGTGCCCTCAGCAAAACAAAAGTGAACAATGCTTTTGCTTTTCTACCATTCATATACACATTTATCCAGCAATTTCCAGCAGCATCCATTCTTTCAGAAGGAATGTACAGTCTGGTCCTTGCCAATGAGCTGAGTCAGAGAGATCTCTTTTCTGAATGAAAGGGAAGGTGTGCCGCATCAAAGTACTTGACAAACGTTTCAAATAAAGAAATTTTAGTTTAGCCACAAGCAACCCATTTAAGAGTTTTTATTTAATAGTGATTTCTCATCTAATGTAGCTTTGTGGTTTCTCAAATTGTAAGAAACACTACTGGGATTACCAGCACAGAATGGCAGTTGCAGACTGCTGATGAACATTTAGCAGCATTAGGTTAGGCTTAATAGTCCTGACAATTACGTTGTAATACTGCTAAATGATGCAAAGTTTTGTTTGACTGCAGCTGTTCAAGTTAGGATGTTATGAAACTTAATTATGCGTATAAACCCAGTAATGCTTACTAAATCACATTTATTCTAAATCCAAATTGTTTACATCTATTTAAATGCCCTGTGCAGTTTCCATAAGGAATCTACCCAATCCAAATATATGAAGGAAGCCATCAAGAGTAGACAAACTATAATATCAGATTAGGGAAACAATTTTATGAAAACACTGATGCTAAGCTTATTCTTGATGATGAGTTACTTTTTTATCAGTTCCACTAAAAATATGAACAACTCACATATATTATACGCATTATTATACACATACATGCTCAAGGTTTCCTAAAGTAACCAACACAGAGATACATACAACAATGCATATAGCTGTATAAGAATACATGTGTTAATAAATAAAATTATGCTGCAGAAATATGGTACCACATAGGACTTGTGTGCGTTGCAATTACAATATACGTTTTTGTGTGTATAATTCTGCGTATAATTAGGCTTTAAAAATAACTGTTAATGGATAAGTGGCTCAGACATAGGCAGGCGTTCAATACCTGAGACTATCTGATGCAGGCAAAGCTCAATTAGGTTGGAACAATTTGCACGTATAAATCCATTTAAAACCAATTTTTCCTCCATCTCTATTTCTATCTCCATTGACATTGAAGCAGCAATCATTTTTAAAAAATAAGCTATATACACTGTTGCCCTTCATTCACAAGCTCCCTTCAAAACCACTGTTTGTACTGCTGGTATGCCAGAGAATGAATACCTACATTTTAGCAGTTGATGGGACTCAAACACAAAACACAAAACACTGACAACACAGCTTCTATGAGGGAAGTGAAAAACCACCTTTCCTTTTCCAGAGAAAGGGATGGGGTGGTAGTGCAAAAGCAGGATGAATTATGAGACCAATCAGCAGTAGTCTGGATTTTAAAAGAACGATAAATTATAGAAACAGATTCCTCTAGAAAACAAGAGGAAGTTTGGGGGGGGGGCAGAGACTTCTCACACAGGGTCTAGGCACAGCAAACTCTGTTACCGAAAAACAAAGGTTTCGGGAAGGACTTTATCTCACATTCATTTCAAACACACACACACACATATATATATATATATATATCCCTGGACAAATACTCAGTAGCACACAAACAGGCCTTGAAAGTTTTTTGGTGAGCCTTTTCTTATTTGGAATGATGTGGATTTGTGTTCTACTCAGAGGCAACTTCTTTCAAGCTATTCCTGAATTACATTTTAGCAGTCAGTAACCTCTACATTTTCTCTCCCCCATTCCTTACTGGGACTAAATGGGAAACATACTTCCTATGGCTATTATTTTCTCCCTAGGTTTGGAGAACTGGTCATCCCCATGCTAGCTGCTTTCCTGGGGGAGAGAATTTTTCCGCTTCTGAATGCAATGTTGTGTCCTGTTGCTATAGAGCTTCAGTATCAGCAAAACAGAACTGCTTGCTTTGGTGACCCACCATATCATCCTGCTTCATAGGCTGAGAAGCAGTTGTCAAAGAAACTCCCAATAGTCTGTATAACCAGGCAAGGACATGATCAGAACAAGTGCAGAAAAGGACCATCCAGTAAAATACAACTGACTGGAAATTGCTGGTAAGGTTTTTTTCTCACAGCTGGAAATTTGTTCTCCCAACTTCCATTACAGATCTTGAGTAATATATGAATATTGTAAATCACTCAGAAATAGATTTTCAAACTACAACTACACAGGTGGATTCAGTGGCAATTTTCAAGTTAAGGACACTGCGCCAACATCCATGAACCAGTATGATGTTTAATCTCCAATAACTCGTCATTTTAGTATGCAGCCACAAAGGTTATGTGAGGGAAGAGTTTCTTAAAAGAATTTTTAGCTCAGTATTTCCTAAATAGTCTGGAATTCAGCATGTTAATTTTAAAGTGTACAACTATAACCTTCTCTTTTATTCAGGTAGTATTCTAGCAGAACTTATAAACAGTCACATTTTACCAGTAGATTCACAATTTAAAAATTACCAAAATCCATTTTAAGTTAAGATGTCTTAATGTAAGCCATAGTTAACTACCCCATTCCCAACTTCTTCAGTGTAGGCAGTTTTTCTATTCATTCCTTAAACTTATAGCTTCTTTAATCATAAGTATGTCTTGGGCTCCTCCTCACAGCTTCTGAGAAACTTTTCTATGTTCAGGAGATGATCTACTGTGCTAATATTTCTTTGGGGAGCTGCAACCCAATAGAAAAATCGTTAACAGCCATGTGTGGGTGGAAAGATCTCCTGATTGTTTGTGGAGATCTTTGGAACTAGCTTTTAATATGTTTTATTCCCTTCAGTAATGTTGGGATTGTGCAACAAGTAAGGTAGACTAATGACACACTAGAATTCCTTTCACCTCTGCAGAAAGTAAATATTCTTATAATCTAGGTCAGAAGATTTGGGGCAATTGTTTCATGGCTTTCAAGACTACCACCTACAAAACTTTTAGTCTGAGTAGAGATTGGAAGTTTTCAAGTTTTCTATCATTTGCCCTCTCTACTCTTCTGCACATTTGCATGTTGCACACCTGAAATCACTATTAATCAGAAAGTTGGCAGCAACCCACAAGCCCACTGTCTGTTGGTCTAAATTAGTCACTTAATTCTGACTGTCCTCAATATTAAACTACTAAACTTCAAAGGACTAAAAAAACAAACACCCTGTGCATAACAAATATAGCTGGTGTGCATTTTAAAATATGCAGCCAGTTCATAGGCCTTAGCATTAGAGGTCAGGTATGATACAAGGGTTATGGGATACCTAGGTATTATTAGCAGTACTGATAGAAGTCTTCCCTCAGAAATAAGTTCGATGGTTTCAATTTACAATTTTAATCTTCTGGGTTTAACTCCGCTCTTCAGAATTAAGTTTGACAGAATCTGCTGGAGGAACCATCACCAAGACAGTTACACAGCTATGACATTTGTTTTTTGAGAATGTGCTTTCCGTTGTTCAGAAATTAACACAACTAAAGTAACTCAAGACTTGACAAACTGCATTAAAAACAAAAATCTACTTAAGTGTACGAAAACATTTCAAAATTGTTTTATTAATGAAATTACCTTAAATGTGTTGATTATACGTAAGACAAAACTTGAACTCTGCGCTAATCTGAAACCAAAAATAATAATTAAGGCAAAAGCTATTCTGAACAAAAGCATCTATATGTACTAACATTAGGAGAAAAGCATTTACTCTACAGTAAAAGCTTTGAAGTAATATTTCTACGCTCCTGTGGATAGTAGAGGGTACAGGATAAGAGTCAACATCACTTGTACGACTCATTGTTCTGCAATAACCCATGCTTGACTTGACATTATGCAGTTAGAGACTATAGACCACTAGCTCCAGGCACACTGGCATTTAATATATACAGTAGTTTGTCATCTTCACTCAGTGAGAAAAAACTGCAGAGGCACAAGCCCAGTGGTATCAAAGAAAAAAGAAAAAAGCTTTATTTAGTTCAGGTGACAGTCTTCCAGTTTTCAATTACAAGTTTAAATTGATAGTATAATGCTGACCAAAACTTAGCAATTGGCCCACTGGGTTTCTATTTTGAAATTAAGCAGGCAACCTCTTGACTGTAGTATAATTAAGGTTACTGAAAGGGAAGAAGAAAAAACCTCCACTGAAATGTAAATATACAGGAGTGACCTAAATTAATCATTACCACTCACTGGGCCTGGCCTTGAATACTATGGAATTAGCAGTATATGTATACTGCAGACACAGACATTTAATAAGTTAAATATGGTAGAAAACACCATACGTTAGATCTTTTAAGCATCACAGTCTGGTAGTGGTTTAGTACATAGAAGCCTTCATTTAAAGATTTTACCTTTTCCAGAAAGTCGTCCCCCACCCCCAAGTTTCAGATTTTCAATGATATTGCAACACAAGAACTAGTGTTCCAACTGCTTCCTCCCCAAGTGCATTGCCACTGCCTTTCCCATTACTACCAATGTGAAAAACAAAGGGAAGCCTACTAAGTAATCACCAAAGCAGCAGGTAGCACAATATTTATGTCCAAATTAAGGCTGACTCCCAGTGGTATGCACATCACTGGCTTACAGCTAACTGTGTGAACACCTCCATTGGAGAGCACGGTCTGGGGTGAAATTAGAAAACATGCAATTTCTATAACTGTACATGTGCATGTCATCATGAGATGTTGCAGTTAAAGTGATGTCACCCTTCAATACCCCTCCCCTTACTGTTCACATTCAGAATCCCCCCTTTCTCACCCACAAAAAGAAAACTGTCTAGAAAGGTAATATTGACAAAAGAGCTTGTTATTGTGTTGTTAGACGCTATAATTCTATTAGCTTTCTTACTCTGATAGCTCTTAACACATTACTTCAGCACAGCCTTTACTTTGCTCCTGCTACACTTAGCTTTTCCTCAAGAAGCAGTGCACATCTCGGTTTCCCTTCTCAACTGAGCAATACTTTCAAGCAAGTTTCCTTAGTTCTACCTAGAGAAAGCGTCCCTGCACCTCAACTGGTTGCTTAAATATACTTGGTGGTGCATATTCACACAGAATATATTGACTCACTTTCTAGTCTGAACTGAACTTGTGAGACATACTCCAGTTATAGTGTATAACCTTTATTAAACCCTACAACTTTCTTGGAGGTAAACCAGCTACTTGCAAATCACATCGGAGTGGCTATTGTACAGGACCTAAAAGGGGTTAAACACAAACACCGTATCTAAGATTTTGTATCTAAGATACTGATGTCCCCATAGACAAAAGGGTTTTTTGTTTAGCAAACCAGGCTTCCTATGTTTCCATGACCATCTTTGTCTGGCTACATTCATATTGTTCTACACAGGGTATTGAGCCAAACTAAATACTAGCAAAATCAGAAGTGAAACTAAATACTCCTCCAAAGGTGCATACATTTTGTTACATTAAGGGGATTCAGCTCCAGTCTGCAGTGGTATTCTGGAGATGAAAGTTTACCAGTCGAAACAATTACTAGTCAAGAAACAAAGCAAAACAAGATGAAAAAATACTGTCAAAGCCAACTCTTCGTGGCCACAGTAGTGTCTTGGTGTTTTAGGAGTTGGGTTTGATAGAAATTTCACCTGAATACACAATGCAAAGTTGAATACAAGCATAAAACTACTTCTTGCACTGCCTTTCTATGTACCTGAATGAAAGTAAACTGACAATTGTGACAATTCCACTATCTAAATATATTAACGGAATCCTTTCATTCTAAAATTACAGTAAACCACAAGCCTGTGGCTGTGATGAACTAAGCAATATTGAACTAAACAGAATCTTCAAAACTATATAGGTAGATATGAAACTTTCCATATTATACTTTTTAATAAGTGGCTTTTGGTACAATGCTTATTTAATAGATTAACTCTTTGCTTACAATGTTTATAGATAACATAAAAAACCAAGACTATTCTTTTATTAAAATACAAACTCAAATAGCGTATAATTTCCTATTTACAATGTCCTTCAAATAAAAACCATCAACTTATTTATAGACTGGAACAAAGAGAAAATTGCTTTTTCATTTCCTAGTTCATTTTTCATCTTTGACTGCCGAATTTCAAACGAAGCCAATAGCACTCTCTCTACCTGCTGAGGCGTCTTTGCTGTGAAAAGCTGGTTTAGTTCTTGGGGAGGGGGGACTTGTGTCTCCAGGTGCTTAACAAAAGCTTTCACCAGTTCACTGGAGTGAGTGGCCTTCTCTAATAAAGTTAAGGAACAGGTATGTATACCTTGAATAGCCAACCTCTAGCGCTGAGGTTACAGGCGAGTTTACTGAAGAAAGCTTATGTCACAATGTCTTATTCATCAGTCAGGCATCTAACCTGCATTCAGGGTTAAAATATAGACAAGGAAGATTAAGTTAATTTAATGCTTGATTTATATTGCAACTGAATTCTGTTGGCACATTTTTCTTCAAGATCGTGGTCTTCTTTCCAAATTTTTGACAGCATCAGTAATCTTTGTGTAACACAAGTGATGAATTAGATTTCAAGATTCCAAGCAGTCTACCTTTTTTTTACTTCAGGAAATGATGAAAAGTTGCTAATTCCATCTGCGTGGTGATTGTTTTCTTCAAAATGTTCATTAGAATAGGCCAGTTCATAAACAAACTGTGCAACAGGTCAGAGCAGCTGACGTCAGCTGTATCTTGGGGAAGAATTAGTTTAAATCCACCTGCTCTCTTCATTAAAGTCAAAGCAAGTTGGCTGTAGAAGTATTTTGAAATTTCAGTGTTTTCTTCATTTCAGACACTCTTCTCTTTCATCAACAGCCTGAACCTATGCATATTTGCTCAGAAGCCCTACTGTATTCAATGTGGCTTATTTCCAGTAGGCTAAAAGATCCATTAAATAAAATCTGTGGCATTTCATGTTTCCTCCATCATGCAGATCTTATGCACTGTACATTTGCAGAATTGCTTCTGGCTGCTGCAAACTCTTAAGTTTTCACCCCTGCCTCTCCCAAGTTGAGTTCCTAACATCAGATATTCTGAAAAATAAATCCAACATCTGCTTTCAGCTAAAGAGCTTTTTGCTGAATCATTATGTTGCTCCACCCAGTAAGACAAGCTAGCAAGTTTCCAATCTTGTTTTTGTTTTGTTTTTTGCATACTACTCACACTCATATTCAGTAACTTTCAGCAATGGCTATTTTGATTTATGAAATAAAAGCCTGGTCATAATTACTGACCTGTGCCAATAAAGATTTTATTCTGATCACCCACAAAAGGGTTAGTTGCACTAACAAACAGAGCATTTTTCATCAACTACTATTATGAAATCATCCATGGTTCCAATTGGATGAAGATATCTTGTTTGAAGCATGCAGTTTATTGTCCAATATGTATTTAAGTTGCAGCACTGCTGGTTTTGGTGGCACCAGCAGATGACTATGAAGCTGTAGATGTTGCAAACGGATAGTTATAACCTCTTATATGGACCCTGAAACAAAAACAATGAAAAGTCAACTTCTGTAATTGAGTACACTTGTTTTAATTGTAAAATTTGCCAGACCCATTCTTTAAAACACACACACACACACACACACACACACACACACGTCCATAGAGCTGGGATATGCTTAAAGCACGTAGGAATTGTGTTTATGGGAAACTATTACATTCTGCAGAGCTGTTTTGCTCTAAAACAAGTAATGTTTGCTATAAATATGGGATGTGACCATCCTTTAGGACAGCAATGTTTGCATTCATAAATTCTTATTCAGAGGCTTGGTCTGCTGTGGATGTCACTTCAAAATATTTACAAGGAAAAAGCCAAATATAAGCTCATATATAACAATGTGTCAGCCCTCTCAAAAGCAAATTAAATAGTGATTTTTTCCCCACTATGGCATAACAAGTGTTGCACAATCTTCAACCAGAGTATTTGTTTATGCCGAACAATCAATAATATCAGAGGTCCTACAGCAGCAGCAAGAGTGCAATTAACATATTCCCATAAATTCACTAATTAATTGTACATTGAAACTCCAAAATAATCCACCCCATATGCTCTGCTTATATTAGCACAGCAATATGTGGGTACAATAAATAAGAAAAGTGCAAAAATGTTTACTAACCAGTTGATCCAGAGTGTTCACATAGGTCCACATCATTTGAAGTCATTTCTTCTTGAGAAGCATTTCTTACAACATTTCATTCTGAAAACCAGGCCTTGCTTCTTTGTCCCACTGTTTCCATTTAATACACCTCCCCCCTGATTATTTTGTTTAACACTGGAATAATTTATTTTCCAGTAAGAGCCTTCTATTTGCCAGAAAGTCGTGTAACAGCTAATTGTGACCAACCCTAGATGCTAAGAAGAGCAAACAAAGCTGTCCTTTCCCTACCTGCCTTGAGTTTCTTCTCTGTGTTGCATCCACTTCTCTGCCCCACCTCAGAATAACAAAATAGCCAGCAATCTCAAGTTTTGTTCAACTCACATTCCTCTGGCCCTACAGAATTATTTGTACTTGGTGGAGAAATGCGAAATTAGTGCTTTCTGCTGTCTGTCTGTCTCCCTCTTCTCATGTGAAGGCACTGATCAAGATTATCTGCTTTAAGATTACGCAGACTTTTCAGAAGCATTTGCTTATTACTGGACAGACTATTTTTTCCATTTTATGAAAAGTAGTAATTCAAGTTCAGCTGGTAAGAGTAATAATGTTTACCATTTGTGAATTGAGCAAATTGCAGTATTCAAGGACTTGAGACTACAAAATAGGACTTACAAGGCAACTCAAGTGAACTCAGTGGATGAATATGGTAAAACATAGGTTGTTTGTCTGCTAAAGCCAAGAACTGGATGCTCATATGAAGACTTGTAGTCCCTTTGGCCCAGACCTCTTTGTTCCATTCTATTATCTTTTGACCATGTCTGCCCCACGGATACCAGGATGCAAACCAATTTCAGCAGGTAAGTTCACTTTATTCCATGTTAAGTACAGGTAGGTACAATCATCAGTCTTGTCTCAAAGTGCTTCACTGAAGGCTTCTCTTCTCTTCAGACACCCCAGTTTCTGGCATTTTTGGAGACTCTGCTTCTCAAGAAGAGTGAAGTCTTCACTAACTCATAGACCTTCATTGTCCCCCTTCCCCCTTTAACACCTTATTCAGAAGACAATAGTGAATGGCTATGCTTCAAATGTGTTAAGCGCACAATAAAATTTGAGAGATTTTCTACTATTTCCTTCAGCGCATTATGAGCTCCACCTCATTCTTTCTTGTCTGGAATAGGTGTATTCCACCCCCACCCCCACTAGGATTGTTTTTCAGACTCTTTATTCAAGGACTGGCATGATGGTCCCCTATGACAGGTACAACCCTATCCATTCCCACCACAGGTTAGCAGCAGGCTCAGCTCCTAGCTATCTTACTGTCCACCTTCCTGCTGTAAAATGGGTTCCGTTTAAACCTGAATTACTGCAGATGTGGCATCCACCATTTGCAATTCTGTAGATGGCACCTCATGAAGCTGCCTCATGAAGTGCATCACCCTGAGAGATCTTGGAACCCCCATTCTAGGAAGGAGCAGAGTGAGCTCCTTTGTGGGTAACAAGCCAACCTGATAAAGGACATGGCTCACCTATAGCCACAAAAGGCCAGGATATACAGTACTGGGCTGTATTTATTAAGCTTTGGACAGAAGTTCTCCCATGGTTTGGTCTTCATAGAAAACCAGTTTAAGAGGTGTCAGTGTTGAAAACATATTAAATTCAGTTTTCATTTGAATCCACATTTTGATAAAAGCAAAAACTTAACGTAATGGACAGTTAAAATTCAATTTAAATTAAAGAGTCCCCTTATTAGTTCACCCCACAGGATAATCCTTGCCTGGATTTGTAATTGAAGATGGAAAATTAACACTATCTATGCCAAGGAATAAAAATCCATCACACAAGTGCTTTAGGCAGAACTCCAAGTGAGATCATACCTAGTTTTCCATCTTCATTTTGGATGCAAGAATAAAGGTACCCATACCAAAGCTTCTAAATGCTGACCCAATAGAAAAAGTAAACAGAAGGCTTTCCTCTTAAAAAGTGTTAGGTCTAGGATTTTGGATCATACTGTTTGTCATGTTCCCAACACCAAGCCAGTTTTGAAGAGGGGTTAATGCGGGAGCAGAAGATGCAGTGGTTAAAATGACCCAACATCCCCAAAGAAATGATATGAAAAACAAGGACACTTGGTTTAAAGTTAGTAGTCAAATTTTCCAAGGACGTCCGTTTTCTTTAATACTAAATAGCCAAATGTATGTTTTTAATGGCCTCCTTGATCTAACACTTAACTTCACCGACATCCAAATTAGTGTTTATTATTTTTGGACTGTAACGTCACTTGGTTCTTGGCTACTAACCTTTCATGTTACTCTTGGATTTGTCAGTTTGCTTGCCTGTGGGGGTTTGGGCTTGCTGCCCCTGCCCACTGGAAGAGGCTGCCTGCTGTGCTGCTTTCTGCTTTAACATTGTCCAGTCAAATGTGTAGTCATATTGGTGATTCAGAGTCCTAGTGAGCAGAAAAAGAAAGCAGAATATTCACTGCAATGCAATACCTACATTGCCGTTATATAACAGACAAATTTTACTGAAGCCTAAAATTAATAATGCTTTGTAAAACACTTGAAGATTGAGTAGTGTGGTGGATTAATAATAATAAATCTGTTCGCGGCAAGTTTGAAAGCCACTTAGCAGTCATTTACAAAGTATTGGCCAAGATCCAAAGAGTCCCATCACATGTGACACTTGGGATCTTCGTCATTTTCTATTATAATAGTCTGCATTAAAGCTGTAATCCATTTTGAGCAATTCAACATTTATAAATGGTAAGGACAGCTTACATTGTAATTAATGTACAACTTACACATACAAACCAGCTTGAACCTTGGGTAGTAACATGAAATTTCAGATACAAAACCATTTTAGTATACAAGGACCATTCCCCTTCCCAGTATGTCCATATTCTTTCTAAAACACAAGGCCTACATTCATCCAACCAGCTTGTAAATTTGGGGCAAATTTTGCTTACAACCCCATTGCCCTGGGAAATGTGACATCATAAACTGTTTTATTGCAGCCATATATCTTTAAATGCTGCTTGGCTTTCCACTCTTGACAAATCAAGTTAACTGAAGTGGTCAATGAAATAAAGGTAGTTTCTTCAGCTGAAATACTAGATTTGATCTTTTACAGATAATTCATGCATTTACTCAATTTAAAAAACAAAACAAAAACTGACTCTGATCTGGGTGTTTGAAGATAACGCATGTTATATTTGTTTTCAGTGCTGCTGGTGACAGGCTAATCCTCAACCAGATGAAGAGATTAAGGCTATCCTGGTGAGGGCTACGGGTTTCTGTTAAAGCTGATAAAAAGTCAGCAGAATTTTTTTTCTAGTTCTAAGCACTTGCTAGTTTATCACTGTTATGCTCAAAGGTTTTGTGGTACCCTCAGCCCCACTGACCTGAAAAGGATACGGAATAACTGCCTCAGATACATGTAGTCAGGAGCCTCTTCAAAGCGCAAGCCACGACAGTAGTTCAGATACATTGCAAATTCTGCAGGAAAACCCTGCAAACAGAATTAGTCAAACAGTGACTTACAGAAAAGATTCTCGTAGGTCTTAAATGCAAGACATCAGTTCTGGATTATTGCAAGTTTTGTTTTTTAAGAGCGGGAAAACAAGGAAAAGAATTTATATTGTGTCTAAGAGTTCTTGGCTACTTTACTAATGAAAAGATAGCTCCTTGCCAAAGCAGTTTACGTTCTTAACAACAGCTTTTCTCTCACCTTACACAAAACTTCAACAGGAGTAGACATCTTCTTTTCACTAATCTTTTCATATTTCTGTTTCTTTGTTGCAGCCTGTGGGACACATGGATAAATATATGTGACACAAGGACAGCTGCAAATTTCAGATGGACAGAACCTTGATGGAAAAGGCTTTATATGAAATCTCCTAGTACAGTGGTACCTCGGGTTACATACGCTTCAGGTTACAGACTCCGCTAACCCAGAAATATTACCTGGGGTTAAGAACTTTGCTTCAGGTTGAGAACAGAAATCATGCAACGGAGGCGCAGCGACAGCAGGAGGCCCCATTAGCTGAAGTGGTGCTTCAGGTTAAGAACAGACCTCCAGAACGAATTAAGTTCTTAACCCAAGGTACCACAGTACCACAATATATTGCAAAGGAAATGAAGGCCAATCTGGTATTAAGTTTTGAATGTAGCTGAATGCCATTTATTGCAGTCTAATGCCTACATCATATGGTTATTGTGCATTAAGCATACTGTGTTTGTTTTATTCAAGATATGTGGAGAAAACATTTGACACCATGGAGTTATGAGGACTTTTTAACAATTGAGCCAAGTATACAGTACTATGTGTAGCAGTGTTCTCTACTACACTAGTGGGAGTGATGGACTGGGGCCAGAATATAAACCTCAAGTAAAATTTCATGACATACCTTTAATCCTTGCCACGGCAGGCTGGTTCTGTTAAAGTACATCAATACGTATCCTAGTGACTCCATATCATCACGACGACTGTGGAGGAAGAGGCAGGGGGTTTTTTTTGTGTGTGTGGTGTTTTTTTTAGTTTATGCTTAAAAGGTATAAAAGCACTTGCCACCTGAGGACTTAGCATGGTTTGAAAGGAAGCTGGTAGTCAATAAAACTGCCAACATACCAATACATAACCTGAGTTATAAACAAATTTAGTTGTTTGGGTTCAATGAGATTCTACATTTGATTTTGGGAATGAGGACCTAGAAGTCTAGAAGCAGAATAGTACCACAAGATAGGAATGTGCTCTAAGCAGAGTTTAGCATTTTCAATGTCATGGAGATCTACCTAGATATTATTCAGCCATCTTTCTAGAAGCAAGAACTAGGCAACTAAAATTTAAACAAACAAAATAGTTTTAAACATAGTAAGAGCAAGCTCTCCCCATTCAAAACAACTGGCATACACAGAAACCCAAACACTAGCAGTATAATACTTTACCAAAACTACTGAACAGAATCTGGGTTTGGGGAATTTTACATTGTGTCATCCAGATGGAGAGAAATGGATTGTTTTATTTGTAAAACAGGCTTTGACAGATCCTAGTTTACTGAAATTGTTGTGAGGGAATCATTTTAACAAGAAGATACAAAACTGTTGAGAACATTTAATCCACCTTCATTTCTTAGCTAATTTCTTTAGCTAGAAATTAAAATTCATTTAGGTTTTGTTCATTCAAGATCCCAAATATTTACAGCTTCTAGCATCATTACAGAAATTGCTTGGACCTTACCTCTGTTCAATGCCGAGATGTGCATTGATGCTGGCGTATCTGGCTGTGCCAGTGAGATTTTTGTCTTCTCTATATGGTATATGTTGCCTTGTCCTGTTGTCCCGGTACTTTTTGGCCAACCCAAAGTCAATAAGGAATAACTTTAAAAAAAAATGAAATGGATTTAATGGATTCCAGCCAGTGCTTGGAAACTACACCCATGTCTTTAAAATGCATTTGTTAGAAACGCTGGATCTAACAAAATAAAGTTTAGCTATAATTAAGCCTAAGAGGAGCACTGTCGTATGAATCATAACTAATCCAAACAAAGAACACTCATATTCCTAAATCGGCTAAGGAAAAACTTCATACTATACAGAGTGAGAATTAGGTGGCAGATTCTACACGTATTTTACCTAGCAGCAAGCCCCATTGAACTGAATGCTTACTTCTGAGTAGACCAGTATATGATTGAGTCATTGGTCTCAAACCTAGGTATTAGGTAAAAAAAATTATGCACTAGGAAAAAGAGAGGCACAATTTTATTCAATTATGTTCTGGCTTTAGTTTCTCAAATAAATTTGCTTTTCTGCCATTTACTTATTAGCTCCCAGCTAATCTACTCAAATTTTTCAATTCGCTTCCCTGATGTTTTTGTTATTATTTTCCCAATAAGTCACTATAAATTATAGCTTACAACTTGAACCTAAGTTCGTTTGTTTTTCCACTCTTTCCTTTTGTTTTGTCTTTTTAGGCTATAAGCTTGAAGGCAGAAATTAAGTTCTTTTTAAAGTCATTTATAAGCTGCTCTGGGTACCTTTTTTGCTGAAGAGCAGGATTAATTTTTTTAAAACCACAACCATATTTCACCGCGTAATGGTCATCACTGCATAACAGTTGCACCACCCTTTTGGATACCTTAACATTTGTTCCAAAAGTATTCACGGCATAATAGTAGCAGGGTATAACTCTGATGCGAGCCAAGGGGCGGCACAGCAGGCTCCTGAGGGGGTGAGGGTGGGAGTCCGGGCCCTCGTTGGGTTGCCAGCTGGAGGCCAGGCAAAGCCAGGCCCAGGCTGCTGTTAACTGCCACCAACCTGAGCTTGCGCCCCGGGGCCACCCTAGCCAAGAAGAGGAAGCAGCGGACGAGCAACCTCCTCCACCACCCATCCGTGATTCCTTCCTCCACCTCTGCACGAGCAAATAGCATTGAAAGGGAATGAGAAACCCAGGAAGAAATAACTTTAATTGACAACTGAAGCCGCCTCTTCTTTTGACAGAACTTCGCACACGGAGAAGGCAAGATTTCGAATGGAAAGGACAATGTCTGTGCCGTTTGCTTTGTATTGTACCATTGCCCACTTAAAGAAACCGGAGTCCATAGCATGTTGTTGCTTCTTACCATTATTTCACTGTGTAAAAGTTGCCACAGTGTAATAGTTGCACCCTTCCCTTTTAAAAGAAAAATCGGCATAAAAATGTGGCCATTATGTGGTGAAATACGGTGGTTAAATACATCCATGGTAGAATTCAACATTTGACTGCCACAGGATAAACCTCTTACCAACTTTTCTATACCAAAGCAAGATACAATTCCTGAACTTCGATTCATCTCATCACAGACATCTCGACTAGTATTTAGGAAAGGCCCTTTATCTACAGGCCTTTTCTGGGGTGTATCCTCACTTGTAGAATGATTTCCTCAGAGAGGCTCAATATTTAGGCACCAGGCAAAAACATTCCTGTTCTCCTGGGCCTTCAGCCAATTAAACAACCTAAAAGGTAGAAGTAAAGGTATAAGACCCATGGACGGTTAAGTCCAGCCAAAGGTGATTATGGGTGCAGCGCTCATCTTGCTTAAGGCTGAGGGAGTTTGTCCACAAACAGCTTTCCGGGTCATGTGGGCAGCATGACTAAACCACTTCAGAGCACACTGAAATGCTGTTTAACTTCCCATCGCAGTGGTACCTATTTATCTATTTTGGTGTGCTTTCGAACTGCTAGGTTGGCAGAAGCTGGGACAGAGCAATGGGAGCTCACCCCGTTGCACAGATTCGAACCACTAGCCTTCCTATCAGGAAAACCAACAGGCTCAGTGGTTTTGATCACAGCACCACCCGCTCCCTTTTTTAAACAATCTATAGCCTTTTAAATGGGGGGGGGGGAGATTCTGTTTTTGTTTTTTACTATGGCAAATTTTTTTTTTGTATTTTTATATTGTAAACCACCCTGCGATCTTCAGGTGAAGGGAGGTAGAGAAACTTAATAAATAGAAATAAAATAGAAATAAAATAACAATAATTTATCCGCTTCGGCTCTATGGAGAACAAGTTAGAAAAGACCTATAGACCTATACGGCTGCATCAATATATGTTTAACCATACTTAACTTTTAAAGTGTGCAAATTATTTAAATTATACTAAGTTTTTAAGTCAGACTACTATACCAAGTAAGCAGCAGTTTAAGGGGAAGAAATAATTCTAAAAACTCTTCAGAAGAGAACACCTGATAGAAAACTAAGTTCTAATATGCAAGTTTTTACTTTTAAAAAAAAAACCCAAAAACTACTTGAAAGCAGTTGTCTTTTTCAGGTTGCCAATGCCTTTATGGATATACTTTGTAATTTATTTTCCTTGGTTTCTACACTTATCACAGTTCAATTGAGGCATACAGAACCAAGAATAAGGAAAGCAGCATTTAAAAAGAATTAAGAATTGTTTCAAGCTATGACCGGATGCAGACAAAAGTACTCTAATCATCTATCACAAATGAATAACTGGAAGCAACTACATATAGAATGAACTACTGACCCAAATGAGTAACTGTCACAACTTGCAATTTCCACAGTTATCAAATACTACTCTGAATGTCCTCCTCTCTACTAGCATAAATGACAAGACTGCTTCACTAAAACTTGTTCAAATGTTGTGATATACAGGTACCAAGATAGGGTCTTCAGACGCATCTATGATGTAAATCAGGCATCCCCAAACTCAGCCCTCCAGCTGTTTTGGGACTACAACTCCCACCATCCCTAGCTAACAGGACAGGTCAGGGATGATGGGAATTGTGGTCCAAAAGCAGCTGGAGGGCAGAGTTTGGGGGTGCCTGATGTAAATGATCAAAATCTTATTATTAAAACTTCTTTTCTGGACAACAGTTTTACTGATAAATGCAATGGGGGGAAAAATGTTCTTGATCTAAATGAAGATGCTATTTCAGACCAGCAGTTTGGGGCTTTTCCAAAATGCCTCTTTCCATACTAGCACAAAACAGGTGGTCTTCATTTCCATGTGTGTTTTTAGGGGAGAACTCACTTAAAATTACTCTCATAGGAACCTCAATCTTTAGTGAGGCTAGCGCACTAATAATATATGGCAGACTGGAATACAAGACCCTGCATATTTTTCATCTGCAATACATTCCTTCATTTCTGATAATTTTCACTAACAGAGTGTTTTGAAGCAATATGCATTAGCAATTTTGGATAATGTGAGGCACCCAATTCTGGAGATGAAAACACCCCCTCCCAACCATTTCTGAAAAAGTATGACCCAGTGGCAAAAGGCAGGTGAATGAAAAAATATGGACTTGTTTTCCACACACCCTCTTCCATGGCAATAAACCTTCTAAAGCTCGTTTGCAAAGTTTGCCTCTCTGCTGAGGAGGGTGTTGAAAAGGGACATTACCAGGCAAGGAATAAGGCTGTGGAAGCCAAGCTGCTTCAGTTGCAAGTGGAGTACTATGGGCCAAATTAGACATGGCATTAGTAATTGAATGAATAGTGTAGGTTTTTATTGTTTTATATTTTGTAGAGGAAGTAGTAGGCCGGGGGCTCCTAATTAGAATCAACTTTGTCTACTTCTCTGGTCCCAGTCCAGACCAGGGACCGACATCACCTATCTGAACTGGAATAAAAGTTCCCACCAGAGCTAAATTTTCCTGTCCAGCACCAGCATCCTGACACAAAAGCATCACTAGTCGTAAGTAGTAATATTCATGAGTAGCACCATACTTAAGGCCCAACTCCTCCTTCCCTTTTCAACAACTAAAGTAATTTTAGAGCAAGCTAAGAAGTTAAAACTCTTAAATTGCACAACACCCAGGGCTTACAGTGTAGCTTTGGAAACTAAATAACATCCATTTGAAGTAGATGTTAATGCTAGCCCAAGACGAGGCATCATCAAAAGATAATCCATTTTACTTATTGCATTTTCAAAACTTAGGTCTCTAAAGAAGTGGAATAAGGTTCAGCCTTAAAAAGCAAATGAAAAAGCTGCTTAAGACACCTTGTGCCCATTTTCTGGGATATAGCAAAGCTTTAAAAAATACAAAACTACCAGTGATCTATGATCAAATAATTCTGTTTAAATGTACCACTGGCAACAAGATGATCCTTGTCCCTTATTCTACATTTTGAATAAACCATCAGAGCTACTAATACACAAGGAAGAAGTAGAGTTTGTCTTGAATGTTTCCAGACCCGAAATTCATTTTTTTCAAACAAACATCATGCTGTCAATGAACGGGATAAGAGGCCTCCTACATCCAGATACATTTAAGCAGGCATATGTGATTCCCTCACAGCACATCCTCCTTGCTGCTGCATTTTTGAACACAGGGCTATTTCTCAAGAACAAGAGCATTAGAGTAGTTAAGTGATACTTAACTTTGTTCACATTTTAACAGACAGCATAAGAACCTTATCGTTTAAACAAGCGCCACAAGGAAAACGTCTTAGTAATGTTACATGTTTGCCAAGTATGTCTGAATAATATGCCAACAAAAGGTGCTTTTTGCAAGTCTACATGTTTTCCGAAACAAAACAAAAAAGCATATGAGTTTGGGATTGAGGTTGGAATAGGAGACAGTTTCAGACCTGGTTTAATCCTGAGAAAGATGGGTCCTGAGAAGTACTAACAGTCATGCTTCTTTTCCTCTTCCCCACTGGAGATTCTAAACACTGAACAAACAATAGAGGGTGGCAGTGCATCAAACAGTATTGCTTACATTGCAACAATGGCTGGCGCAGACAGGCAACACCGAGGCGTTAGAGAAAGAATAGGGTAGCCAAATGCCATCCTTCTTCCACCAAGCACTATAGTTTTCCAGAAGAGATAATGTTATCAGGAAAAATTTAGAAGACGTGGCAAGTTAAATTTTGAGCATGAGCCACTTCAAAATGACACTGCCTTGAATAAGGGATAGCAATGGCAAGATTTGGCTTTTATAAGAAGGAAATTTGGATATCATGTACAAAAGTATCCTTTGACTCCACAAACTGCCCTTCCCCCAAATGACATGTAGGAAGTAAATCTTCAGTAAGGAAGAGGTAGAAGGCATTTAGTCACCTTAAGTTCACTATCATAAGCATGCAGGGCTTATTCTAGCACAGCTCAGAGATGATCTTATGCTAGAAGTGAAATAACGCCTAAATATGTAATTAAGAACAAATTTGAGAAATGCAGCATTCCAATTTTAATCACTACATTTTAAATTCATTTATAATGAAAAAAATCTACTGGAACAAGATTACCATAACAAGCTAACCTACTGCAACTGGTGTGTTTTGAAAGAATTCATGAAAGACACAAAATGTTTACCTCCATTTTTGCTACAAGAAGAAAACTGCATACTATATCTAAAACCAAATTTCAAAAGACAGAAAGAGAGAGAGAGATCGCTGCTATTTACACAGACCTAAAGCAAAATTTTATTTAAATTCTGCTTAGATTAAACCAAGGGATTTAGACTCCTATGTCCAGCATTATTTGAAATGTTAAATAGTGGGCATCTGCTTTCCATTTCAGTATTTGGTACAGACTCCAAGTGCCTCCCTGGGAATGAGAAACGGGATGCGGTTTACATCTTCCAATATGATCCTAACAAACTCACCTAATAAAAGCACAACAGCATTTTCCAGGCTATTCTTTCACTTCAAAGAAAAACAAGGAGCTACAATGCCAGCCCACTACAACTGTCACGAGTGTGGAGAAAGGGACTCAGAAGAAGAAAAATTGCATTAACTGGTTTAATTGTTCTTGCTATATTTCCAGTTCTTGCCAGAAAGTTAAAGAATTGGATTGCATTAGGGAAACAGAATGTTAAAAGTGCAAAATTTAGAGATAAATGAAATTTAACAGAAATAGGATTACAGGAAGGCATTTTACCTTATTTTTGAGTGCTGCTGTTTTTTCTCACCCCACCTCCCCAATGTTCCTAACTGGTGTACTGTAACTCCTTTAAAACAGAATTCAACAGTGATGGTGGTTGTTTTGTTTTTTGGTTCTAAAGTAATGGTCCCAAGTTGGCATCCATACAGGCAAACAAAGGTAACATTTTATAGCTAGTCGTATCTAAAGAGTCAACACTGAAGGCCTATGAAGAACCAGGTGGGTATCTTGCTCCCAATAAAATAATCACATACATTTGTCCTGCACTTAAGAATTTCTATCCAACAGCATGCTTAATGCACTGCCAATGCTGCCTGTCTGTCCAAGCTCAATGTAGTTTAATGAATTTTAATCCCACAGTCTAGACAAGAAAAAAATCCAACAAAGACATGCATCTCCAGCTAAATTAATAAATCATCACCTTCTAGTAAAAAAAAAAGTTACAGTACTTTAAGTCTGTGACTGTTATTCTATATCTACACTAACTGCACTTTGAACTTTCACAGGCTTGTGAAAGCAAAGGAAGCAGTTAAGTCAACAGGCTTGTGTTACTATTAGAAGTCAATGGTTTCTCTATAGATTGGTTACAGCCAATTTTAATATCTAGGTAGCTGGTAGTAAAGGCTTCACCATGCTGGCCTAAATGCAGTTGAGAAAAAGAAATTGCAGTTTATGGTAAGCGGTGCTATTGCAACTCATGGGTTCTGAATAATCAACAGTATCACTGAACAGAGTGAACTTGCATACTCAATTATGAGTCCATTAGACAACATATTGATTTATATCCTTAAATTCCATAATTAAAATATGGCCAAAGGTTGGGGCCATAGCTCACTTCTGCATTTAGCACTATAATAATAATAATAATAATAATAATAATAATAATTTATCATTTGATTGAAATTCCTATCTGTTGCCAAATAATTGACAGATGTCAGCAAATAATTGACATGTTTAGCAATGACAAGCAATTAATTCAAGCTGCACAGCATTTCCATGAACTGCCATTTCAGCATCCTCCATTCTTTCATGCAAAAAAGTATTAGACTAACCTTATTACAGTGACGCCCGATACCCATTAGGAAGTTATCTGGTTTAATGTCTCTGTGTATAAAATTCTTTGTATGCACATATTCAATTCTACTGATCATCTGTGAACAAAAGAAAAATGACCAAGATTACAAAGCTTTTCAAGCAACAATATCTTAGGCATGAATCTAAGCATGTTTTGGCAATTACCTGCATTGTTGCTAATCTTTATGAACCCAAAGGCTGCATGTTGGTGGCCAAGAGTTGGTGCGACTACACCACACCACTCACACACACACACACACACACACACACACACTCACCCTCTTGTGTACACAAACACCCACCACACATGGTTTGTCCTCAGCTAATCCATGCAAATCAGATGAGATTTGTGGGGGGTTTTTTGGGGGGAGGGTGTTATTGCCTCTTCCTGTTCATCAAATGATGGGGGGAAATGTAAAATGCACTGCCATCAAGGTACTGGGGTGTGCAGAGGGGTTGAAACTTTTCCAACTATCCCAGCACTTTGTTTTCTTTTTCTGCTGCCATAATTGTTGGAGGGTCCAGGAAAAAACTGCTTGGGTAACAAGAGCAGGCCTATGGGCTTCGAGAGGGATGGTTAGTTATCCTGACCTACAACATACAAATCAAACCAGACAGTAAGACTACTAGTTTAGTAATGCTTTTGAATGTTAGCTAGTGTAAAACAACAAACAAAAACTCCTGCTGACTCATCCACTCTACAGAGATTGGATACTGAGTTTCTTCCTAACAGTCTAAAAAGGTTTAAAAGGCTTCGTCATGTATGGATGGCATTCATGCTGATGACTTAGAAGAAAAACAATAGACATTTTATTTAATCATGCAATTTAAATGTATACTAAAATAAGAGATTTAGAATCACAGTAATACTTGTAAAGCATGTCTCCATACAAATGAGCACCTGTCTACTAAACCCAGTATGTCCATATTTCCTGAATAGGAGTAATCCATAAGAACACTAAACTTTAGCAGTGGAATACTTCACTTGCTCTGTTCAACAGAGATGAAGCTACTATGGATCCAAACTACTTCTCCCACTGTATGTTGCAAACTACTTGTTCCAAGCAGTTATTAAACAAATGACACTGTTAAAATGTCAACTCTGGAGTATTTGAGTGTTTCTTGTGTTAGTTCTGATATTAAATGGCTAGTGCTCACTGGCCCTCCAGATGACTCAGTTCAAGCTATTCTAGAAACAAATTGCTATCCAATAGCCATTTTACTCTAAATGTAAGAATCTATGCCTTTGCAAATCTGCATTATATGCCCATGCTGCAGATCTGTTGATTCTAATGAATCTTATTGAAGCGTTCTGTGAATGTTGGCTTTACTATTTCCTATTTCATTCAGCTTCTGTTTACCGTGAATTAATTGAGAAATATAGCTACAATAGGCTCTTGGCCTGAGAAATGTGAACTACTGCACTATTTTGGATGATCTTCCTAGCCAAAGATGCATGCATAACTTCAGTCTTATGCAATTAATATGAAGACTGCAAGTAAAGATATGAGGCAAAACTGTCAATATAGTCGCTTGCATGGCTCCATTAAACAGTTTCTAGAATTCTAATATTGTGTTATATACATTAAATAATCTGCTACTATCACTATTCCTTTTTCTTTCTATCATTTTTGTTTCTATATTCATTCCAGTACATGTAATAACAAGTCATACAGTCTGACCTACTTGAAAGAATGAAACGAACAGCATTTTAAGGCACTGTAATATCCATTGTGTAATGTTTGCAGATTTACATACCTGGTCTGCTAACATAAGTACTGTTTTCATTGTGAACCTTCGAGAACAAAAGTTGAAGAGATCCTCAAGGCTGGGTCCAAGAAGATCCATGACTAGAACATTATAATCTTTCTCTTGACCATACCACCTATAAAGAAGCAGAAATGGTTAGGATAGATTGAATGTAACCAAACATAATGTTCATAGTTTGTTTCAGAAAATACTTATTTTCTGAATATTGTTTTCAAAACACTGATCCTTTCAACTGCTGCAGAAAGCAACAACATATGCACAGTGAAATCACTTTCAGGAAGCGCCCTAGATGCATATGTAACAATATTCAGGCATTTTATCTTTCTCCAACACTCTCTAGAATTGAGAAACTACCATGACAGCAACATTTGGTATACGCAGAAAGGTCACACTGTAGAGTCACTTAGAAATGGGAACAGACAATTGATAGTCTAAAAATCTGTGTACAAAATAGTTTCAATCATTTCTTTTTTAAAACTGAGGAGTCTAACTACTTGGAGAGTGTAAATTGCACACAGCTGGGAACACACCATAGCAAAGACCACAATACAGTGATGCCTCCCAAGACAAAATTAATCCGTTCCGCGAGTCTCTTCGTCTTGCGGTTTTTTCGTCTTGCGAAGCACGGCTATTAGCGGCTTAGCGGCTTTAAGAAAAAGGAAACAAACTTGCAAGAACTCGCAAGACTTTTCGTCTTGCGAAGCAAGCCCATAGGGAAATTCGTCTTGCGGAACAACTCAAAAAACGGAAAACCCTTTCGTCTAGCGAGTTTTTTGTCTTGCGAGGCATTCGTCTTGCGGGGCACCACTGTATAATACCAATCTGAAATGCAATGCTGAATTCTATGAAAGAGTAAAATAGTGTCTGAACCCAGGGAGGCACACCAATGTAGACTTTATGAATGGGTAAAAAATAAAAACAAGGTCAACATTTCTGAAATCACTATCTCAACTTGCCCTCTACAGACAGAAAGAGCAACAAATCAAGAGGGGCCATAATAAAATTATTGGCACCAGCAGAAGACAACATATACTAAGGTCAGTTGAAGGAAAATACGTAAGTGAAGGCTGTATGTTTTAAGACTGGCTGTCAACTGACTTTTAAGTTAGCCTTCACAAGCAGCTGGCACTTGAGGAACCAAGAGGCTCTTCGTCTTGTGGGAATGCAGACACTCAACCCTAGATGCTCCTTAGATGCTCATGTATGTAGAGAAGCAGAGGGGGAAACTACCTTTGGGATTCATACAGGTATTACTTATAATTCCTTCTAGCAATGATTCAAAACTTCCTGTACGTACTCAGTATCATGCAAAATTGCCTGAGGTATTAACATATACTACATATACTACATATAGATAGATAGATATATATAGATAGTCCAGTAGCACCTTAGAGACCAAATTTGTTCTTGGTATGAGCTTTCGTGTGCATGAACACTTCTTCAGATGCTACAGATAGATATTGGTCTAAAATTTACAGATGCTCAGAAACTCTTCAGGAAAAAACCTTAAGAGGGGGAACTCCCCCTCCCACAACTGCATAAGACCACTATGGCACAATATGTTGAGACAGAATTGGGGGAGGGGAGAACAGACAACTGGGTGGGAGGGGGAAATGGAGTGACTGAAAAGAAAGGTGAGAGGTAGAGACACTAAAGCAGGGGTAGGCAACCTAAGGCCCGGGGGCCGGATGCGGCCCAATCATATTCTCAGTCTGGCCTGTGGGTGGTCCAGGAATCTGCGTGTTTTTACATGAGTAGAATGTGTGCTTTTATTTAAATTGATCTCTGGGTTATTTATGGGACATAGGAATTTGTTCATATATTTTTTTCAAAATATAGTCCAGCCCACCACATGGTCTGAGGGACGGTGGACCGGCCCACGGCTGAAAAGGGTTGCTGACCCCTGCACTAAAGTATACAAAGGTTAGACAGACCATCACATTCTCTGGGTAGGTCACTTCCAGTTTAACAAGAATAAACTACTTAAGAAGAAGAAGAAGAAGAGTTTGGATTTGATATCCCGCCTTTCACTCCCTTTAAGGAGTCTCAAAGCGGCTAACATTCTCCTTTCCCTTCCTCCCCCACAACAAACACTCTGTGAGGTGAGTGAGGCTGAGAGACTTCAAGGAAGCGTGACTGGCCCAAGGTCACCCAGCAGCTGCAAGTGGAGGAGCGGAAACGCGAACCCGGTTCCCAAGATTAGCAGACTACCGCTCTTAACCACTACACCACACTGGCTCTCCACAGTGTCTCAAGAGATGGAATTGAGAGCTGTCTGTAGACATCAATTGATAAATCAGTTCTAGGATTGGGCATGAGTCAATCTTTCCACAAACAAAAAACTACAATGGGGTGGGCTGTCCCAGAGCAGCCCAGTGAGGACTAAATGAAGTCAGTGGGCATGGAAGACCAACTCAGGATTCAAGGCAATGTTTAAAACATCTTAAACATTTACATTTGTGGCATGTGTTATTAAGAGGATAGATTTGCCACTGTACTTATCACAATATTTGAGTATATAGGATAAGGGGAATAATATGTAGAGTAAGTTTTAACTTACACAATACTCACATCTTAAATGCATCTCTAGCAACTTTCAGACAGGCAGAAAGTGTGACTGACAATAGTGATTTCACCATGGGTTTATATTTAAAAGGTATCAATTACATCAGTGTTTCCCAACCTTTTTTGGGCAAAGGCACACTTGTTTCATGAAAAAAATCTCAAGGCACACCACCATGCCAGATGGGGAAAGGTCACTTTTTACTTATGTAAAAAAAAAAAAAAGTAACAGCATAGAAGGTAATGGTTAGGCTAGCATCCCTCTTCCAAATATGCTAGGTTTTTATTTGCAGGGACTGTTCTACATGGGAAAGCATTCAGCACTGTCATTCTCCCATCTGCCATCTGAATTGGTACTATTCTGGGTCAACTTACTCTGCTGCATGTGTAGATGAAAATGGCACCAAGTGTGGGGGAGGGGGCAGAACAGGTTTCAGATACAGGATATTAAGCATACACGTACTTCAGATTGAACTGGTTGCTTGCTTTGCAAGTTTTCATTTCCCAAATGACTGCCTTGGCAAGCGCAATACCTACCAGGCTCAACGCCGGTCTCGCGCTGCCGCTTCCCGCGCTCTCAAGGACCCGGGAGGAGGAAGGTGTGAAGGGAATCCCGAAGGCGCGAAAACCTCGCGCATGCGCAGGCCTTCCGCCTGCGACAGCCCAGTAGGCCGGCCGAAGCGAGCGGCGATGGGATGTGGGAGGGAGCTCGCTCACCGCCCCGCGTGTGCCTATGTCGCCACCCGACTCGCCCGCCTCCCTCCAGGCAACATCTCGCGGCACACCAGGCAACGTCTCACCGGTTGGGAAACACTGAATTACATGTACTTCATGTTTACCTAAATAAAACACTGAAAGGGCTAGTCAAAGTAAAATGTACCCAACTGAGACCATAAATTAACACTGAATTTTTTGAAACTATTGTGATTATACAGATAGTGGTACCTGTAGTTATGGCCTCAATCCATTCTGGGGTGCCATTTGTACCCCGAAAAGTCCGTAACTAGAGCACGGCGCAATATAGCACTTCTGCACATGTGCAAAGCACGCAGAAGGCTTCTGTGCACGTGGCGAAACCCAGAAGTGTGCCGCATTCGCAAGCCAAACAGCCGAAACATGAACCTAACGCAACACGAGGTATAACTGTACTGACTTAATATATATATAACATTGAAGGCAGAAGAAATTGCGATGTTTACTTGTGTTCAAGTACTACTTCAAGCGGGACGCGGGATGCGCTGTGGGTTAAACCACAGAGCTTAGGACTTGCTGATCAGAAGGTCAGCAGTTCGAATCCCCATGACAGAGTGAGCTCCTGTTGCTCAATCCCTGCTCCTTCCAACCTAGCAGTTCGAAAGCACCTCAAAGTGCAAGTAGATAAATAGGTACCGCTCCGGCAGGAAGGTAAACAGTGTTTCCATGTGCTGCTCTGGTTCGCCAGAAGTGGCTGTCATGCTGACCACATGACCTGGAAGCTATACACCGGCTCCCTCGGCCAATAGAGAGACATGAGCGCCGCAACCCCAGAGTCAGCCATGACTGGACTTTTTCTTATACTTTTAACATAACACAAAGTCTAGACAGGTTAAGTCAGAAGTCAAACACAAAACGCACCCAAACTCTAAGGTGTGAAAACTATCCTTTGAAGGTAGTTGCACAATTAAACCACATGTTTCAGCAATGCAAGCTAGTAAAGCCATACCTCATTTTGCTAAATTCTGCCTTGCAACTAGTCATCTAGCAAGAGGCAATTGTGGGTCAGAATGCATGCAAAATAAGATATCAGTCACTGACAATGTTGGAAAAAACACAGTAATAAACCAGAGTAGGCTACTGTCTCAATGCATCTACAGACTAGTTCACATGAAACTTCCCTATACATTCCATCAAATGGGGAACTGACTGAAATTCAGAGAAACAATCTTAATCGCAGCTCTTTAGCCCATAGTTTAACTTGGAAGGAAGGAGTGGTAAAAGGCAATGCATTTCCAACCTTTTCTCCCTCCAACACACTGAGCAGCTGCTCTCATTCTGTTAACAAAGGATTTAGCCTTACACAACAGAACTTCCTCCTCCTGCACACACACCCTGGGGGAAACTCCAGAACACATTTTTTTTGGGGGGGGGATGAGAGGGGGAAAGTTCCACTGTGAAAACAGAAATCCTTCCACTAACGGAATGACTGACTTAGCACTACTTTGGATACAAGTCTAAGTCCAGGGACAAGAGGGCATAGTGTGAACACTTGGTGAAACCTTCAGAAGCTAGGTTAATGCTTTGCCAAAGAAAGCAGGCTTAGGTCTGATCAGCACCTGGAACCAAGACCTGTATTACCTATGTAACCCTATGTATCTACTCCTGAAATTCATGACAGAGAAGAGGAGGAGTTTGGATTTGATATCCCGCTTTATCACTACCCTAAGGAGTCTCAAAGTGGCTAACAATCTCCTTTTCCCTTCCGTGAGGTGAGTGAGGCTGAGAGACTTCAGAGAAGTGTGACTAGCCCAAGGTCACCCAGCAGCTGCATGTGGAGGAGTGGGAAATCGAACCCAG